TAAGTGATTTGTCCAGCATTACACAGCTAAAAATTGTTAAAGGTAGAATTTAAATTATGCTACCCTCTGTGCCATGTTGCTTCCACATTTTCACTTCACTAAAGTCTAAATCACTTTAGAGCCATCATCTCAAATTAGAATTTTCCTTTTGTTAAATCACTATATCATTGTAGCAGGTGGAAAAAATACCTATTTTTAGGCTGAAAGTGCTTCCATGAGCTATGGTCTATCCTGAAACTCTGCATTTTATTCTTCTAAATAAAAGAATTCCTTTTTCTATCAAACATCATATATTCATGCACAATAAATACAAAATATACTCCTATAACTGTTTTTCCATCTAGATGTTATCCCATAGGATATCTGGGGGGAATAGGAATGAACCCTAAAATCAAAATAAGAAACCCTATTCTATTCATAAACTTCTTAAGTATTATCTTCTTTGGACAGTAGTGACATCTTCTGGGATAAATAAATATAAACACTTCAATAAACTATTCTCATCATAAATTATTCTCATCATAATATTCTTACTCCACTATAAACTGTTTTTATCTCAACCCCCCTAACTCCATGTTCAGCAGTCTCATCAATATTAAAAAGAATGACTGAGCATTGTTTATTTAGCTAATTTGATTTTTAAAAATTCTACCCTTCAGAGTATGAACATCTATGGGGCACAAAACAACTATAATACATGAAACATCATATTGGTGTGTGCCAACAAATACCAATCATGAAGTGCAAATTGAATAATTGTGCTTAACACAGCATTCAGGTCTGGAGACTGGGGTTCTGCAAAATCCAAACAAACAGGGAATGTCCTCACTAATAAAATGCCCTGCATTTAAATGGTGATCTTTTTTTCCCAAATCATCAGCAAGAGAATCTATGTGATCTTAGATGTTATATGAGTAGAGAGGTCAGAGCAGAGGTAACTTGGGGTTCCAACTTAGAATAGTACCAAAGTGCACTGAGCTGAGCAGTGGGGATACAAGGGAAAAAACAAAAACAGTCATTGCCCTCAAGGAGTTTATATTTTAGTGATCCTGGAATATTTTCAAGGTCAGCTCCATATAAAGTTCAATAGAGCAATTGAACTGAAAGGCAGGAACTATACATGGTAAAAATGAGTTCTGTAATAGAAAGGAGACGTTACATGAAGTATATAGGTTAGATGACATAGGACTTACATAAATTATTGGTAGTGGTAAAGCCTTTCTTTAGGGGAGGGAAGGGAAGATTGTTTGTTATTATTATTTATCTAATGTACCAAAATAATGAGTTTTGTTGGGGGGAGAGAAGAGATTGGTCTTAAATCTAAACATTAACATTCCACCCCAATTACCAAAGGAGGGGTAAGGACCCACAAGGATGACTCAGCAACTAAAATACAGATGGATAGATAGAAAGCAGCTGAACCATTGTGAAAAGATGTCCATTGCTATTGTCTCCAGACTGTATATTTCCTCAGCTAAGCCAATAACATGGGTTACAAGGACTTCTAAAACAAAAAGGGATTTGTTAAATGGCCCACCATGAGGCATGTGTTTGAAGAGGAAGAGAAAGCTTGGTATGAAAGAGCACCCATTCTAAGAGGAAGCTCAAATCACATATGAAGGAACTGGGAACTTGTCACCTATAGAAGACTTAGTGGGAACATGCTATGTTTCAAGCAAACTAGCTTACTTTCTCTCAGTTATACAACATTCCTCTTCCTGTCTTTGTATGTTTTCCCAATGCCCAGAATCCATTCCTCAGTTGCCTCATGAAAGTCATTACTTTCTTCAAGGCTTTGCTTAACTTCTACCTATACAAGCCCATCCTGATCCTCTCAGTTACTAGCACCCTCCCCACTGGAAATTACTTCATATTTTAGTTTGGTAGGATAAGGGAACAGGAGAAGTTCTCCTATTATTTCACTGGTGTAAGTACTCTCTTTATCAATAGGCAACTCACATGCAATTTACAGTCTCAGAGAATTGCCTGCAGAAATGAGAAATTAGGGACTTGCTGGAGACCTCAAAGCCAGTATGTATCATAGACTAGACAATTCCAAGGGTGGATCTCTATTTAAAAAAAATAGTTCATCATTTAGCACTGAAGTAGAAGTTTGTCATATTTTATCCCACCATGATACAAAGAAAAATGGTTGGTAGATTCTAGAGTTTCCCCCCTGGGTTTCCCCTCCTGTTACCTGGATTTTTATCCCACGAAAATCAGATATTAGGAAACATTTTTCTTCAGCTCCTAAGCTTAGATTTATAGTGATTAATCAGTATATTAAATGTTTAATATTAAAAGAAGACCAGAAGGCAAAAGTCTAATTATAGACTGTTGAATATTATATTTAATCATTCTCTAGCTATTCAAAATATATATATTTAATTATTTTCCAGATAGCCTGACCCATTTAAAAATAAATAAATAAGCAACAGAGGAAATAGAGCATGCCACTGAGGAAAGAAATGAGTTTGTTTCTGGACTAAGTGAATTCTCATACTGCCCAGCACCTATGAATTCACTTTTGACCCAGTTTTTTCCTAGTTAATGATCTGCCTGGAAATCAATGAACTTCAATGAAGGAAGTTGTTCTCTTAATATGGGATTCTTTATGTATCTTGTACGTGCGTATTTACATTCATGTTATCTCACACTTTAGAGTGTGAGCTCCTTTGAGCAGTGCATACTTTATTTTCGTTTTTTCTTTATATGCCCCAGTGCTTGAGGCAGTGCCTAATACACAGTAAGTCCTTAATAAATTTGTTTACTGGTTGAGTGACTGTCTAATTGCATTTCCCTCTTATTCAAAGTAGTGATAGGATTGAAACATATTCAGGCATTTAACAAGCATTTATTGAATACCTACTCTGAGCAAAGCATTTTTAGCAACTATTAGAGAAACAGATAAATAAGGTAATCTCTAAGGAAAATAGCGTAATTCTGTGAGAAGATTTGATACACCATTCTATGAGAGTATGAAGAAAGGAAAAATCAGAGGAGGTTTAATGAAGTAGTGGATTTGGAGTTAACCCTTAAAAGATAAGAAGGATTTCAATAAATGAAGATGACCAACAGGATATTCCAAGTATAGGAAAGAATATGAGCAAATGCACGGAAGCAGTAAAGCACAGGTATATTTGGGGAATGGGGAGCAGATAAATTTGGCTGAAGCATAAGATATGTTAATGAGAGCATATAAGGTAGAGAAAGGACATTGTGGCCAAATTATGCAGCAACTTTAGTGACTAGATAAGGAGTATGTTTTTTAGCTAACTAGGAAAAATGGCAACCATGGAAGATTTTTGAGCAGAGGAATGACCTATTTAAAAATAATACTTTAGAAAGCTTAATCTGGGCAACAGTGTTTAAGAAGGGTTGTAGTGAAGAGCACAGTTAGGAGAGCCCTGTATTGTTATACAGGGAAGACATAATAAGTTAATAAGAACCTTAACTGAGGTTTTTGACTGGAGAAATTAAAAATATGAGAAGTATGCAAGTGGAAAAAGTAAAATTAGTAGGATTTTGTGATTGCTACACCATCAATCAAAATGCAGTTTATGATAATGATAACATCATCTTGTCACTCTTAGAATGTTTTTTAAGGCTTGCAAAGCATTTTCTTCATCACAATCCTAGGAGAAAGAGGGTGCAGGTATTGTTATTCCCATTTTACAGATGAGAAAACTGAGACTTAGAGAAGATAAATGACTTGCAAAAATCACACAACTAGGAAGTGTCAAAGCCAGGATTAGAAATCAGGTCTTTGCTAATTCCATGAGCTCATTCTATGACATCACACCCTCCAGCAGGACAAAAGAAGGAAAGATAGGAATCTGAGGTGATTCAGAAAGCTTGAATCTAGGACTGAGTCAGTGGTGGTACCATTAAGGATGGAGTCAAGTTGGAGAGCTGGAAGAACAGTACTGAACAGTCTGAATTTAGACCTGCTGAGTTTGAATTGCCTTTGCCTACCTGATAGAGTTTAGGAAATATGAGTTATTCTTTGGGACTTCCAAATGGAACTGTCCAGAAGGTAGCTGGGAAAATTAGGCTTAGTTCAAGAGAGGGGTCAGAGTTCTCAATTTAGCTTGGGAGTTATTCACATATGAATTAAGTTGTCTCCTTTGCATTGGTTTAGGTTCAGCACTTTGGCAGGTCAACTAGAAAAACAATCTCTCTTTTGTGAGGTAAACATTTTTTGTCTGAACAAAAATAAGACTTTATTCATTAAAGACCAGTAATTTGGTATCACAAAAAAGCAAATTTAGTACAAGCACCAGCAATCCAGAACTTGTTCCCCAGAGAGGTCATCTTGACTTTGGGATAAAGAAAAGAACAAGGTACTTAGGACAGAAACATGTTCCAGAAGACTAGAAGGTAAATATCCTTCCCTTTTTCTATTGGGTAACCATGCTATTTCTATAAGACTAACCCACTACGGGGTATCCTAAGGTATTCTGTCAGCTCTTATTCATTATCCTGACACAGATTTGGGGACTGTTCTTTAGTCAGAACCTGAAAGGAAACAATGCTTATGCCCCTTTCCCAGCTGATTCATTCAAAATTTCTTAGCTTTGCATGGTAAATGGTCCTCATGACCTATGAGAGGTGAGCTTGTCTTGAGTTTCTTTGAAGTACTTTTGATTTCCTGTCAACATTTATCCTTTGCTGTTCCACATAGCTGGTCCCAGGACCTCACGCCAGCAGGCTACTGGGCAGTGTATTACATTGATCTGCTCAGCACTCATGTGACATAATGACTCCTCACATGTGTGAGAGGCAGGTGTGCATGCTGCCAGAAAAGGAACAGCAAAGGTTATGATTTCAATGATTTTTCTCAGGGGTGTGTGTGTGGGTGTGGGTGTGGGTGTGTAGTGACAAAAAGAGATTTTACAATACATAGATATTCATTCAGCAATGTCTAAGAAAGGTGCAAGACCTCCCAAGCACAGAGGAAATGTTGTACATTAATCTGTCTCATTATGATTTGTCAACAGGTGGGTTACTGGAAAGATATGGAGCAAGAAGAAGCAGCTGAAACAGTCAAAACTGGGGGGAATGAGTCATCTATCATTCTGACAGGATTAGAAGGAAATACATTGTATCACTTGACCGTGAGGGCATACAATGGTGCTGGATACGGACCACCTAGCAGTGAAGTGCAGGCAGCCACCAAGAAATCTCGTAAGTGACCTGGGCTCCTTGTTCTTTTCAGAACAGGGGAAAACATCTTCAGCAGTTCTGGATTCCACATGGGCTACATACTAAACAGGCTTGGAGGGTCATTTTAATTCATAGTCTTGCCTCGATGCTTAGATCTGAATTCCAAAAGAATAACAGGAAATTTTGCATTCACAATAGACAAAGGTTATCTTCCTGTGAAACAAGGCTAACCGGTTTTGACACAGAAGGGAGATAAAAGGATTCAGGTTCATAAGCTAAGCAGAGTAGCTATTAAAATGACACTCCTGGAGCGAAAAAAAAACACCTTATCCAACTCCAGCTGGAAAGAAGCCTATAATGTCAGCCAACCATAAGCACAATAAAACATTGAAATACAGAAATTAAAATGAATAAATGTATTTAAATGCATCCTGTCAACTTACTTTTACTTTTATTTTTCAGCTCCTAGCCAAGCACCAAGCAACATTATGTGGGAGCAGCAAGGCTCTCAGGTTTCTCTTGGTTGGGAACCTGTCAGACCATTAGCAAACGAATCAGAAGTAGTGGGCTACAAGGTTAGTGTTTTCTCTATTCTCCTGTGAGATTACTCTCCAAAATGTTTCTTTTACATCAACCTTAGTTTTCATAAGTAAGCCATGCTTCTGTTCTTTCTCAGCCTTTTTCAAATTATGTATCTAAAAGATATCTTTCCCTCAAGCAGGGAAGTCAATACTGTCCCAATCAACTTCATTGAGTAGATCACGTAAAGTGGTTGGGTCAGAAGAAGACAGCAAAGCAAAAGCTGCCACATCCTGCAAGGAAGAAGAGGTAGTGAAAGACATCTTGAGGGCCAGTGAAACATGATCACCAGTTACTGGGATGCCATAGCAATGAACAAATAATGGCAACATGTGGCACTCAGTTTCATTTCAATGAAATTGTTACTACATTTGTGAATTTTAGAAAAGCCAGTTAAAAGCAGTGACAGATGTCCCAAAAATTAGTGAACTGTTCATGAGGAAAAGACTGCCAGGCTTGGATTTGTCTTCATTTCATATGCAAAAATAACTCCCGTTGGTAGCAGCATCTTCAACATAAAATTGTCTCAAGTACCTGCATGACATCTATAAACATAAAAATGTTTACAAATTTCACCTTGGAATACTTCTAATTAATAACCTCTAACTTCCCCTATTTGTGTGTATACATACATGCATGCATACATACATAGGTGTATGTGTGGAGCAAGAAAGAGAGAAAGACAGAGAGAGAGACTTCAGCAGAAAGCATTCAAAATTATCTTTTGTTTTTTATAATGCGTAGCCATTAGTAAGATTATCATGCCTTAAAAATCAATACTGTAGCATCAGTTTAATATTGCTTATCATAGTATTTATAAAAGTGTTGGCAAATCCATCATCATAAAATTCTTTGACAATTTATTTTTATTAGGCAGATGTATGAGTACTGAGACTAGGCAGTGTTAAACTATCACAGAGTATAATACAACAATTTGGGTCTAAGGATTGAAGTTTTAAGGACTAAATTCTGAAGGAACTCCTTATGGGTATTCATTCAATATAAATTCTTCATGTCCCATAATTAGCCTAGAACAATAAATTCCAGTGGTGTCCTATCCCTTTCAGGATCAAATATAAATTCTTCTGATGGGCTTCAAAACCTTTCATAACCTGTCCTCCCCCCCCCACACACACACACTCACATTTCCAGTCTTCTCATCCCTTATACTCTCCCTGACCACTCACACTCAGTCCAGTAACACTGGCCTCCTTTCTATTCCTTGAACAAGACTATCAATCTTCAAACACCAGGCATTTTCATTGGCTCCCTTTAACGGTAGTGCTCTCCTTCCTCAGCTCCACTTCTTGGCTTCCCTCAATTCCTTTAAGTTCCATCTAAAATCCCACCTTCCACAGGAAGCCTTCTTGATCTCCCTTAATACTAATGCTTTCCATTTATTGCTTATTTTCACTATAGAGATATTCCCTTTATAGTTGGCTTGTTCATACATAGTTGTTTGCATATTGTCTCCCCCATTAGACTTTGAGCTCCTGGAGAGTACAGACTATCTTTGACCTTTCTTTGAATGCTTAGCACATAGCACAATTCTTGGCACATAGTAAAAATTTAATAAATATTTATTGACTGACTGACTTGAGTCTTTCCCTGAGCCAGGATAGGAAAGCAACATGGTCAATGGAAAGAGCATTTGATTTGGACTTAGGATATCTGGATTTTAATTCAGATGCTGCCACCTGTATGACCTTGAGCAAATGACATTTTAATCTCCCAAGGTCCAAGTTTCCTTGTCTCTAAAATAAGAGGGCTGGACTTTCTGGATTCTAAATCTCTGATCATCTGAATTCCCTGATTTCCTTCACTTTAGAGCAGGAAGATAAGGTATCATCAGAACACATCTCCTTCAACACTGAATCTTTTCCTCCTCCATGGGTTTCTTCATCCCCACAAAACCATGCGTGGGTAAACATTCTCTTCAAACCAGCATATGCTGAAAATTAAGGGGAGCAATTTGGTCAAAATGTTGTCATTCCATCACGTGTACAACCTAAAGACTCAGTTAGCCAGGACTATTAGATACCCTCCCTCACTGGACAGTATGAGTTATGGGGCAGCAAAAAGTATGAAGAACTTACTGTGACCTGAGAACACAAAAAAACTAAGAGTCAGAAGTTCAGGTCTGAAATCTGGGGATCTTAAGTAATAATACCAAGAATGGAGGAACCAGATAGCTCCTTAAGTGAGGCAATGCAGACTTCTCACTTCTATATGTGACTTGAGAAGAATGATAGATGTCAAGGAATAGAAGGGGAGCTGCTCTAGAGTGACAAACTTTTGCTTATTTTTTGGCCAAAATTGAGAAGATGTGCAAAGGCAATAAACCAATCTTGAATTAATTAAAAAAAAAAGAAATAAAAGCTTTAGCTACACAAGATAAGCCAACAGAAATCCAAATGTGAATCAATCTTTTTATCTTAAAACAAGAAGTACTGACTTTTATTCCAAAGTTTGCATCCTTATGTGGATTAAGAAGGGACAAAGGGCACCCAAAACTATACAGGCACAAATAATCAATGGGGTAAAAATAAATTAAACAAAAACAGAAATTCTTCTAAAGAACTCTTAAGAGACAGAGCTTTCTTTCTTACCCAGTTAGATCTGCTTCCTAGAAAGGGCCAGAGAAAATCATGGGAGAAAGTTCTATACCCCATTAAGATGAATAAGTTCTATCTAGTTTTACTGGGGCATTCCCTAAAAGGCAGTATTTCTCTTCCTTCACTTAAATTTGTATGCTATTTGGGAGACCCTGGGCTTCCTGCAATCTTTATTAAAAAATTCTACTTTTATCAGCAAGAACTCCCACACACACTCACCCAGCTTCTGCCAACAAGTAGCAAGTTAGGAATGCAAATGTCATGCCTGGTGTGTAGACCGTGGTCTCAGATTGCTTTTCTCAAAATTTAATAGCTTTCATTTTTAGAAGCTGGATCATATTTGGCAGTTTGCTGTGCATATTTATAAATTGTTCGGGTCAATTAATATTAAGTCCTTTCCCTTATTGCTCTTTTTTGCATCTCCCAAATTAGAACCAACTACGTATTTTATTAATGCCATGCTTATAAATGATCATAAGGATAGAATAAGAGCACCAAATAAAAGTACCTGATCTGATATATTTCATCCAAATAAATACTTACAGTGGTAAAGACCCTTTTTAAAAAGTATATTCTTCATACTTTAGGATCATGAGATTGTCCTCATCCCATACAATTGTGACAAGAAAAGGATGTTGCATCCAGATTCTTTACCAATACTGAGATAAATAGATAAATATACATGAATATAGTTGTATCATTTCTGGAGTTCCTAAAGGAGTTAACCTTCTAGCAGTGGTGCACACTTTTGCAGAAAGAGGTGTTATTTGGCATGAATCTTTTCCTTAATGAATCTTTTCCTTAATAATACTAAAATGAACCTGGTTCTCTCCTTTGCTCTGCAAAAGTTTGTCACTGAGTTTAGAAGGAAAAAGACATAATCTTTACCGAACACTTTACCACCCCCATCCCCTGCTTCTCTTTGCATAGGCTTCTGCCCAAGTGAAGAAGCATATCTTCTGGCTTATATAAGAACTGTGCTTCTTGCTTTAAGAAGTCACTCCCTGTCACCCTCTTTTGGCATAAATTTTCTTTGTTAGAAAAAGAAACAAGCAGTCAGAATCTGGGGCTAGTCCCTATGAATGCCTCCCAGGAGAATAGTGCTCAGCCGCCACTCCTGTCAATATTCATCCTAGACTTTCTCCTGTTCCTTTGGGAAGTGCTTCCCAGAGTCCCATATCTCCCATCCTTCCAACGAGTTGGCAGTAGAAAAAAAAAAACACAGTCTTACGTTTCTGTAATATTGATCTCTCTTTCTCTGTCCCTGCCAGCTTCTCTCTAGCTCTTTCTCTGTGTGTGTCTTCCTAACTCTCTCTGCTTCTCTGTGTCTTCCTCTCCATATGTCTTTGTCTCTGTCTATCTCTGTCTCTCTGTCTCTCTCTGTTTCTGTCTCTTTCTCTCAATACACACAGACACACACACACACATACACACACACACACACACACACACACACACACACACCACTTTTCTCATTGTTCTATGTTCTTTTAAATATTTCTCTATCTGTTACCTTTAGGATAAAATACAATCTCTTTGTTCTGGTGTTTAAGGCTTTACATAGTCTGATTCCAACTTACTTTTTCAGACATATTATATACCATTTCCCTTTATTCCTCATGTTCTAGCCAAACCAAACTGCTCACTATTCCCCAATTCTGTCTTCCATCTCCATTTCAGAGACTCTGCTACCTAACTGGAACACAATCATTCCTCACCTCCAGTTTCTCTTGCTTTGAGGAAACTCATGTGTCACCTCTTCCATGAAACCCTCCCTAATATAACCAGTTAAAAGTAATCTCTCCTTCCTTGAGCACTTGGTCTTCTACTTCTCTCCTTTGACGCTGGGATTGTAGGATCATGCATCTATACCTGTAAGGCAACTTAAAGGTTGTGTATGTAGTCCAAGCCCCTCATTTTATAGACGAGGAAACTAGGGCCAACAGATGTTAAATAACTAAAGACACACAGATACCAAGCTTGAATTTGAACTCAAGTCCCATGACTCAGTATTCAGTACTCCCAAGTTCAGTGTTCTTTCCACTGCACTACTCAGCCTCTCTATGATATATGATCCTTGCCCCTATTACAATGAACCTTGAATTTTATATATTTTATATATTCAATACCCCTCTAGAACACTGCTGAGGTCCAAAACTGTGTCATGTTTTCATCTTTGTAGCTATTCCCAGTGCCTAGAATAGTGCCTTGCTCATGGCAGGTGATAGCTAAACGTTTGCTGAATTGAATGTGTTGAAGTGGCAATATTATAACAATCATTTTCAGATTACACTTTCAAGAAGGTAATGCTACATTTCTTTTTTTCCTCCATTTTTATTGTAATTGAAAATAAGCCAGACAATCCATCAGAAAAATTCCCC